AATATACGACTATTTCTTACTAAAAAAATTTTTTCGTCCTATCCAAAAACTAAATTCGTGAATATGTCTACTTCTACCGGAAAAACAATTTTACTTCCTACAATCAATAAAGTTGAAGGATGGGAGGAAACAGAAGATTTAATAAATTTTTTGCACACACAAGGCTTAGGACTTAAAGATCAACATTTCAAAATTCTTGAAAATCAAGAGATTAATGGCTTAGCCTTCCTCAGGTTGAATGCAAATAAGCTCATGAATTATGGTTTAAAAAGAGGGCCAGCTGAAACAATCCCGGGATTGATTGAAAAAATCAAGGGCAAAGGACAGGGTAAGTAGTACCATGACTGCATTCGAAGACACAAAGTGTCGAGTCTCTGACTTATATTCCAAACCTATACTGCTTTCTTCGCAATAATTTTATAATTTCATTTATTAACTTGGGCCTTATATGTATGTTATATAGCTACGACTGCATCGAATCAGGCTAAAGAGGAAGGTGGGTATCATGTATATCTACAAAACTATTACGATTTTGGTATATCTTTATGTTAACTAATGTATTAATTTTATTTTAGTTCCTATATACTTCCAGTACTTCTAATCAAAAACCATAATAAAACTTAGTGCTGATGGTTGAGAAGATTTTACTCAGTTATATGTCTGTTTGGAAAAAACTTTCAGTCTTAAGGGTTCACTGATAGATTATAAGTTTGTTATTAGCAATAATAACATAGATTTTAGCTAGTCGAAAAAGGATTTTGTTGATTTTATTGAAAAACACAAGTGCTCGGCTAATAATCTAGTTAAAATCTTTAGCGTAAAAAAAGATTCGATATTTCAACTATCAGCAGATAGCAAACAACTAAACTTACGCCATCTTGCTTTGTAGGTGTTAAAAGATCATATACAGAAATGATAAGTGGTTTGCCAGCACCATCGACTCTTGGAATTTCTAAAGAATAGTTTAAGCATCAGAAATTTAATCCTACCGATAAACATATCTGTCTTAATCATCGTTCATCAGAGGCTTCCAGCACTATACCTGTTAGCTTATATAGTTTTATTTTTGGTAAATTTAAGGAATTTTGTATGGAAGATCCAGAAAGAGAAGACAATCAATTTACCTATGATATTTGTTATGCAATGGCTAAATATTATGATAAAGAGGAAAAACGCCAAGATAAGGCAAATGAAATGCTAGAAGAATATCTCAGTTATTCGGTGGAGTTACTTACGATTAAACGCGATGGTAATTTAAAGGATACACGTACCGATGGCACTGTGTCCTTTTCTAAGCACTGTGTGGCCAACTTGGAGTATAAAAGTGATGACTGTTGCTCCAATACTTCTCCTTATTTAGAAAATTGTAGCTATTATTTAGTTTTCTGCAACGAACAAGCAAATAGTAGCTCAAATAGCCCTTCATCTTATGTAACTAATTTTCCATGCTTTTTAGTTACAATTGCAGGTGTTGTAATTTTAGCTTGATATTTTTTTTCGATTGATTTCGACTGACTTTGATTGCACTTTAGGGTCTTATTTTTCCGTTTCTGGTACCGTGCTTGCAGATATTGCAATTATAGACCCGTCTACCCTAGTTTTTCCCCTTATTTGGCAGAAACATGATGAAATGATGCTATCAATTTCTAGAACATTTCGTGCTTTGAAGAAATCTCTCAAAATTCTTTATTAAGACTATAATCAAGTTGGAAACCTAGTTCAAAACTACTCTAAGGATCTATTATTCCCATCATTTGCCAATATTATTATTAACGATGAATGTTAAAATGTTAAAATTGATTGCAAAATTGATGATTATCTTCTTTGGGTAGTAATACTCTATAACGAACAAGGGCCACCTAAACCTAAAAGAGCTTGTGTAAAGGTTGTTCAAAAGAATAAATATTCACTTAATACACATCAGCTATTAGCAGAAGCTAGATATGCTCCAAAAGTTCTTGCTAGTTTAATTATTCCAGGAAATTGGCTTATGGTTTATATGGAGTACTTGGAAGATTATTCGACATTAAATTACTTCACCTCTATTAATGAACGAAATCATTTAAAAGAGAAGATCAAAGAAATTGTTGGATATTTGCATGATGCAGGACATGTGCATAGAGACTTGCGTGAAGGAAATATCCTAGTTTGTCGACTTACGAATAATGATTTTGATGTAAAATTGATTGATTTTGAATAGTCTGGAGAGGTTGGTTCCGCATGTTATTCTCACTTTATAAACCATACTGATATTGAATGGCCAGATGGTGCTGAAAATGGGAAACTAGTCACAAAAAACTATGATACTAATTTGTTAAATAAGACACTTTGAGCAACAAATTTATTATGAGATCAAAATGAATATTGAAATTTATTAAGAGTAAATCAATTAAGTTTAGCATAGATGAATATAACCTAATATTTGTTAATCTATTAATAAAAAAAAATACATTTTTGTATTATTGCTGTATTGGAATTTGATTTGGCAATTATCAATAAAGCTGGCCCTGGTGGTCAATTTGCATACATAATCAGTTAAATCTTGTGTGTATATTTCGTGAATTTATTTTATTATATTATTATCAATATACATTACTTGCATATCGAAAATTTTT